AACCACCATCCTGGTTCCCTCTGAGGCATCCCAAGTCACCCTGTGCTGATACCCAACTATGGGTCTCCCCCTCAGCCTGCAGAGCAGGGACATAAAGAATGAGGTACCCTCACCTGGCAGGGAGGAGGGTATTTAAAAAAAAAAGAGGGATTTTGGAGGTCACAGTGATTGGCAGGGCCACTGTCATTTATCAGGTAGGGGTCAAGGATGCCAAATATCCTAAAATGCATTGGATGGTCCCACAAAATAAAGAAGTATTCTGCATCCTACATAAGTTTCAGATGTCCTATTAAATATTATCCATGTAGGCAAAAAAACCTGTTTAGAATGATCTGAATCTAGAATTTACCTCTGTTTTACATTTAAACCTAAAGCATTTGGATGTCATTTTAACATATTTTTTAAGTGGTAGGACTGGTAATTGACAGGTTTTAAATTTTTTTTAAATTGAAGTATAGTTGATTTATGATTTTAACATACTTTGAATTTTTCAGGCGTACAGCCACTGGGTAAATTGAAGGAAGTGTCTTGCCAAGACATTTGTTTACCTGTTCAGAACATCACATCACTGTTGTCCGGAATGGCTAAGGTGTCCAAGATGCCTGCAGACCAGCACACGTTCCTGCATCTGCTGAGTGGTGCCCATGTCCCCCGTTACACTCACAGAGGAGCCATCATCCTACTCCTTCATTCTGCCTCCTGGTGAGTCACACTTAAGAGAAACTTTTGAAAGACTTAACCATTTTATTATGAACTACTTCAAATTTCTCCTGACATTAAAAGTTATGTGTAAGTAGATTTTGTTATTAAATGGGGACACTGAACTTCAAAGGATTGATACCCACTGCTCAAGAACACACACAACTGTCAGATCTCTACAGAGGTCAGGTACTTGTTGCCTATTAACCAGAGCCATCCTTCCTGAGGTGGGCTAACTTCTGATTGCTCTCCTTTGGTTCATCTGTGTAGCCATCCTGGCTCTGGGGGGTGTGCTGTCCTCCTGCATTGAGGGTGTGGATAGGAAGAGTGGGAGAGAAGAAGGGAAGAGGTCATCACTCCACTTTGAGGAAATATGATGGAGTTGAAAGAGCAGTGGCCTGGATTTCTGGGGACTTGGATTCAGTTGCGGAGAACTCTGTGTGGGTTCTTAGACATGTCACTTCAGTTCTGTGCATCTTGGACTCTTTACCTACAGAATGGACCAGATCCCTTCCAGTTTCAGTGTTCTGTGGCTTGATCTTAGTCTAGGTCTCTCAATGAAATGTCCCACTCAAAACTATACATATACTTTCCCTGAAAGCACCACTCACCTCCATAAAATAAGCAGAGCTATTTCTCCTGTATCTATGGAGAAACAAGACAAAGGGCACTAAGATTTACCATGAATTTTTTACAGGGCTAGACATTTTAAACATATGATCATATATCTGTAAGAGGAGATGAGGAAACTGAGGCTCTGAGAGGTTAAGTAACTTGCACAAGGTCATGAAGCTAGGAAACAATAGAGCAGGGGGCTGTACCTAGGCCTGACTCCAAAGCATCTTCCAGATCACTACGTTTTCCTGAGAAGGGAGGGGGGCCTCTCTGAGAGGCCCAGAGACCCTCACTTCTTAGCTAAAGAGGAAGAGTCGTTTGTGTTACTGGCCACCTTCATTGGCTGAAATCACAGTATCGTTATATGGAAGGTGATCATTTGTCCCTATTTGCCTGGTACAGTCCCCAATCTATGCCTTCTGTCTGAGCATCATTATTAAAGTGCCCCTTTCATACATGCACTCCACTGTTCACCACAGCACTGTTTACAGTAGCCAAGACATGGAAGCAACCAGACTGTCCGTCAACAGATGACTGGATAAAGAAGATATGGTATATATATGTGTGTGTGTATATATGTATATATATATGTGTATATGTATATACACATACACACACACACAATGGGATACTACTCAGCCACTAAAAACAATGAAGTAGTGCCATTTGCAGCAACATGGATGGACCCAGTAATTATCATACTAAATGAAGTCAGAGAAAGACAAGTATATGATATCACATATGTAAAATATGATACAAGCGAACTTATTTGCAGAACAGACTCATAGACATAGGTTACTGTAAATTTTTCTAAGAGGAAAAGGGTGGGGGAGGGATAAATTAGGAATTTGGGATTTGCAGATACAAACTACTACATATAAAAGAGATAAACAACAAGGTCCTACTGTAGAGCCCAGGGAACTATATTCAATATCCTGTAATAAACCATAGTGAAAAGAATATAAAAAAGAAAAAATGTATATAGCCGAATCCCTTTGCTGTACAACAGAAACTAATACAACATTGTAAATCAACTATACTTCAGTAAAAATAAAATAAAATGCCCCTTTCACTCTCAGAAGGTTTGCCTAATAGATTTATGGTCACCTAACTACATGTTTACATATCACATCTCCTGTGATTGTATCATGGCCAGGATAGAAACAAACAAAACTAATCACTTGCTATTGTGGAGATTAGCGAATTGGGTTAGAAATAAAATAAACTTTCAAGTTTACTATATTCTGCATGTGCTATCAGTCCCTAAAATGTTTTCTATCCACATTAAGCAGCATGCAGACTTGCAGCTGTACTAAGATGGTATGCCATCAACCTCCTATGAGACTCACCTTCCCTTTGTTGGGGATAAAGTCTAATCCTTCGAGTGAAGCTCATGGCCCCTGGGTTTAAAGAAAAGATCCTGAGAATGACATTTACTCGTTCAGATGACGGTTTTCACTTTCAGGCATGGATATTGCAAAATATCTCACACTAGAAATGTACCTGATACCTCTGAATATCCTTGGGAAGCTGCCTGCTTAGTCTATTTAAAACCCTTAGGAGTCATCCCAGTGACTCAGGAAAGTATAGACGAATGGAAACTTAGACACATGCACGCACACACACCCTCATCAAGTCCCAGTGTTCTTCAGAACCATGAACACCAATCTCACCTCTCTTTGTGGTCATTATCTACCAACCTGGTCATGCCTCTAAGAATAGCTGGACATTTTGAAATCTTTCTCTTATCGTCATGCTGATTTCAGTATCTAGAATTCACGAGAATTCATTCTTTGTCCTCACATTGCAGCAGTCAACTCCCCTTCTAGACCACTGACTGGCTCTCACCAAGTTCTCCAGTGACCACCAGGTTGCTAAAGACTGTGTGTTCTTTTCCGTCCTCCTGCTGACCACTCTTCCTCTGTGACTCCACACTCCCTTGGTTTCCATCTCCTGATTCTAAGCTGCCTCTGTCTTTTCCACAGTCTCTTCACTTGTCTTTGTGGTAGCCTCAATTCTCTGTTCTTGTCACGTGGTACCCCCTCCCCTACAGCTTCAGCCACTGCGTGACTCCACCATGCAACTGCAGCATTACTCAACACAGCTCTGCAGGTCACTAGTGTCCCCTAAGTGCCAGTTGTCTCTTGAAATTACTTTGGGAAACTGTACAAACTATCACCTTTTAGACATTACCATCAAGGCTAAGAGTATAAGCTTTCATCAAACGTTATGGCTGTCATCCAAAAGACAAGAGATAACAAGTGCTGGTAAGGATGGCGAGACAAGAAACTCCTGGGCACTGTTGGTGGGAATGTAAACTGGTGCAGTCACCTTGGAAAACAGTGTGAGGTTCCCCCCAAGTTAAAAATAGAGCTACCATGTGATCCAGCAGTCCCCACTTCTGAGTGTGTTCCCAAAGGAAATGAAAACAGGATCTTGAAGAGATACCTGCACTCCCTTGTTCATTGCAGCACTGCTCACAGCAGCCAAGATACGGAAACAACCAAAGTGGCCATCCATCCGTGGATGAATGCATAAAGAAGATGCAGTGTATGCACACAACGGAGTATTATTCAACCGTAAGAAAGAAGAAAATCCTGCCATTTGTGACAACGTGGATGGACCTTGAGGGCATTATTTTAGGTGAAATAAGCCAGGGAAAGACAAACACTCCATGGTATCACTTACATGTGGAATCTGAGGGGGAAAAAAGTCAAACTCAGAGAAACAGAAAGTAGAAAAGTGGTTGCAGGGGCTAGGGGTTGGGGGAAATAGGGACAGGGTGCAAACTTTCAGCTATAAGAAAAGGTTTGATGTTCCAATGTTAAATATAGTCACCATAGTTGATAACACTTTTATATAATTG